CCCAGATATTCCGGGTATTTAAATGAAAATTCCTCATTTGCGGGCATAAACTGATGTCCGTTCGGTTAATGGAAACCAAAACGCAAAAATGAATTAAATCAAACGTTTGGAAAATGCTTGTGGCATGCTCGGAATTTCTTGACAGTGATCTACGGCCTATATTCCTCATTTTTCCCGATGAAATCTTTCCGGATTCTACGGACGGCGGGAACCCTGATAACGGGGGCGTGATTCCGTCATCGCAGAAAAAGCTTGTTGAAAGAGGGCGAGCGGGTCGGAAGGGGGGGGGCGCAAAAGTTCCGAAAACCGCGGCTAGAGCTGGGTTGCCACGGATTTTTACAAGTAGAGCTAGCGACTTTTTCAGATTTCCCCGGTCACTATAGCGACGATTCTCTGACTGATAACTTCTAAGACAGTAGGGGATGAGAAACAACGATACGTTCCACGGTGTTTAGACACTGAAAAAAAAAACTTCCGCCGGGGAAGCCACCCGTACTTACGGACTATATGGACATATAGTCCGCGTACCGGGCGGAGCACCCGGAGCAATCGAAGCTACGGCTCCAGCACCCGGAACTTTCGGCCCCTGAGCCCGGAACGAATGGTAAGTCTATATAGCCCGTAAGTTTTATTTTTCCCCAGTGGATCCGACTGGGAGAAAAGCTGAATATTAGTGATGCGAAACGAAAAAAATCGCGATTTCCCTAAAATCATTTTTCCCAAATTTTTGGGGTCGTTTCGTTCTTTTATCCTGATTTTTCTCTACTTTTCCCAAACCGTTGTACTCCTGACTTTTGCAGGATTTACAGGTCCGTAACCACCATGAACTCGCCTAAAATTATTTAAATGCAACATGCAAAAACGGGGTCCAACTGTAAATTAAGGGCGCAAAGGAGATGCCTCCGTGGACTTGCGATACCTTTTACCTTTTTCCTTTGACCGGAGAGTTCTTGGGGCAAGAGGTCAATATTATCAGTCAGTTTTGAAAGAGGATCATTCGCACGCAAATTTTCGAAAAAGTCCGTAAAAATCAGAAAGTATGACGTATTTTGATTGGAAATACCGACTGAAAATCCAAATTCAGACCGCGTGCCCATAGTAGGGCAGGATGAACCCACCCAATCGCAGTGGACTGCACCCTCAAGAAACTAGGATTAGCATTTTCTACGCTGCCGTGCTGAGAAAGAAAAGCACCGTACTTAATACTTATGAGCCTGCAGAAATTACACACTTTTCTTGGACAAATCATGAATTTTTGGGGAAACTTGAGAATACTTTTTGTCGATTATTCAGAGAATTTATTTCGTATTTTGATCGTAAGAGTCGGAGAATTTTAAAGGAAAATATTGACTTTTTTCAAAAATAGATATTTTCTGAGAGAAAATTCGGCATCATTCGAATGCTAAAACAGCGAAAATCCTCGGTAAGGCGGAACTATATAGTCGGTCGTTTTTTGACATCCAGAGAAACATTTCTGTATAAATTCTCAGTATTTTCAATTTTTTTTCAGGGTTGCCACAGGATTTGGAAAATTAAATTCCCTGACATTTCCCTGATTTCCCTGACTAATTTTGGTAAAATTCCCTGCCAATTGAGCAAATGTCAGCTTTTTAAAAAGTTATAGTTGGAAATAGTTGCCATGCAAATGTTGTTCGAAACGTCAAACCCACACGGAAAAGCAAATGAAGGTGATTCCGCGATTTTTCCCTGACATTTCCACGTTTTCCCTATCATTTCCCGGTTTTCCCTGACTGTGACAGCCCTGTTTTTGCAATAACTCCAGCATTCTGGACAATTTTCCTCACCTCGTAGTTCAACCGCTCCGAAAAGAGACAAATTCAATTTTACGAAAATGTATAAAATTTCAAAATCTTCCTCTTAACTTTAGCCGTCTAGAAACCCCTTTTCGAGAAAAAACGGAACGCTAAATAACACGCAAGTCTGGCAACTCTGATCGGCTCCTTCAATGCCTCGCATCCTCTCATCCTTCGACCTGCATCTCCTCTCCTCAATGTTGCCAAGTCGGCACAAAAATCCATCGGCAATCGATATTTTCCCATTGGCGACTACGGTAACAAATCGATCATCGAAACGTTCGTTGCAAGCACCCTCATAATCGATCCTTTCCCATTGGTTCTAACGGCAAATCGATTCGATTCTTACGCAATCGGCAGCGAATGATCATCCACCGAATCGCGGCGACACTGCCTCTCCTTTTATCTTCCTTTCGTGATGGCGTTACGTCTTCGCGGCGGCGCACAGTGGGTCGAGTAAATCAGAGATGTCGGACGTTGAATTTTTTACTAAAACAGCAAATTTGGATGTTAATTTCGTCACATCGTAAATTTTCGGAGGTGCGTCTAGCATCAAATGGTACGAGGAAACCGATGGAACCATGTATATAATCTCTAAGTTTTGATTAAAACCTTTTAAAGTTCCCAAATTTTATCCGATAGCAGGGTGTCTAGTATGTGTAAATGTTGAAAATCCTGGTATTTTCCTGACTTTTCCTGATATTTTATAAAAAATTCCTGATTTTTTCATTTTGGAAATTCCTGGTATTTTCCCGATTTTTCTCGTAAAAACTACATTTATTGCGTAAATGCATGCGGAAACTAAATTTTCTGATAAAGTTCTTATGATTAGAAACTACACTGGAAAAAAACACATTGGATCTAAAGTCCAGACTCTTGAAAACATTGACAAGAAAAAATACTCTTGATTCAATCGGATTTTGCTTGAATCAAAACGAAATCCGCTTAAATAAAGAGGCTGGGTTCTTGATTTAAGCTAGATTCTGATTTAATCAAGAGTACTTTTTCTTGTCGATGTTTTTAGGAGTCTGGACTCAAGATCCAATGTGTTATTATTTCCAGTGTAGTATGAAATGATGAAAACGCAAGTAAACGTCGACGCAACGACTCCTGGCACGGTAGGCAAAAAGCAGTAAGACTTCTCCGCTGGGGACATTCGCGTGAAAAATTCCTGATAGAACGTCCGATTTTCCTGATTTTTTCCTGATCGGCCAAAATTCCTGATATTTGCCGGTTTTTCCTGATGCTAGACACCCTGGATAGTGACTCGATCCACTGTGCGGCGGCGGCGATGTTTCCGATTCGTGAATGGAGATCGATGAGCGATGGTCGGAATTCGACGGAAACTGGCAACGCTGCTTCGCACATTTTAAACTCGCCATCACCGCGAAGGGGGGAGAGGAACGGCTTTCTTTTGTTTTCTCTTCGCGATGCAGTATTGCGCTTCCCGGCGAAACTCCCGCGCACGGTTGCCAGATTTTGCCGGGAATTACCATTATTCCTACAAGGCTAAATGTAATAAATGCTGTTTTTACAGCACAGTTTGGCAACCGTACTCCCGCACCCGTCCAGGCGGAGTGCAGTGGATCTTATTGTTCGAGAGGCGGAGGCTGTGCTACCGACGTAATAATAATAATATTGAAATTATTATCCACCTGCGTTACACAGGTAAAACGGAAAAAAGAGGAGAGTTCCGGTTAAAATGTGGCAACAACGCAAACAGGGTTGCAAGTTTCCTTGAAATTGCAAGAGTTTCCGACGTTTTTCGAACATTACCAGGAAAACGCCTCTGTCATCTCATGGAGTCAAATTGAAAAAAATTGAGGGCTTTTCCAGAACTTTTTCGGGACCCAAGAGGGGGTGGCAACTGAACTTCAACACAAAAATTCCCTGAAGTCCTGACTAATGAGTCAGTTAAGCTCGGGAGGGATTTGCCTGCAAATAGTCGAATCTTACAGTTTTCGGTACGAGAAGAACGATGCGCACGTCAAAATTTCACGAAATATTGTCTCCGCGGAGATATAACACTTCCTTTTTAGGGGTCCTCGAAAACATGTTTGAACCGACCGCCGTGAATTCTTGGATCTACGCGTCATAAGACGGGAAGATGGCGGCGGCGAAGCCGACCTGCTTACTACCACCACACTGTCATTGTTGACATCTCGATTTCGCGTTTGAGGTTAAGTGAGCTCTGTTATTGTGTTGTGAATGTGATAACCATGATAACGTGAGTGGAAATTAAAAATTTTACAAGAAAGGACAGTAATGTATTTCCTTCGGAAAATACTACCAACGAGCTAAGGAAATATTAGAAAGAGTAAAGAAATGACAGAAAAGATGAGGATAGGAGAAACCATGAGAAACCCACATAACCTCAAACAGTAACATACCGGCAACGTAAACATGACGCCGCCGTGTATTCTTCCACTACGCATTCCGCCGCCATATTGATCGTGACGTGTACGTCCAAGACCTACGAGCGCGCAGTTCAAACGCCGTTTTAGGCCACCCTAATTTTTGGCACTTTCAAATAAACTTTTCTCCTGTTTGCAGTCATCAAAAAAATTTAGGAAAAAAACCGTAAGCTTCGGTCACTTACTACTTTCGAATGACACAATAAAAAAAATGACTTAACTGACTCATTTCAGCGAAATTCTCTGACTTCAGAAATGAGGGGATCCCTTGATTTTTTTTGTAGAAGTGAGCCTTTCGCTAGGTGCTCTTCAAACTAAATCAGGGTGTCTATTTGTTTTTTTTTTTTTTTTTTTTTTTTTTTTTTTTTTTCATTTTGGGAAATTCTGATGCAATCGTGATTTTTCCTGATATTTGACTGCTAAATCCTGATTTCATAATTTTTCCAAATCCTGATCAAATCCTGATTTTTTGCGGAGAAAAATTAAAATTTCTGCAAAAGCGTGTGCGAAAGCAGTCCAGTCGGACGGCCGACTTTTCTCAAATCCTGATTTTACGACCGATTTTTCTTCAAATCCTGATGAAATCGGGATTAAATCCTGATTGACCTCAAATCCCGATAGAATCGGGAAAATCCTGATTCTAGACACTTGACACCCTGCTAATGTCTCTCTGTTCCTGTGTACCTATTCGGTCATGAGTGTTTAAAGACACCAACAGAAAAAGAAGACTCTAAAAAGTAAGAGTAAAAAGAGGTAGAGGAGCATTACTTACATAATCATGGAAAGCTTTAGCTTCACTAGAGTGTTCACACGAATCCCTTCGTTCAGGTGCTGCGCAGTATAAATCCCAAAACACGCTGCAAAAAACAATTCCAAAAACAAAATTAGAACGATTTACGAGGAAACAATTTTTCAGGCAAATGGCAAAGCTATACGTCAAAAGAGCGTCTTTTGCCTATTATAAAACAGTACAGGGGTCCCGAGAGTTTCTCGGAGCAGAATTGAGTCACAATCTCAACCTCGAAATTTCCAAAGTTTTGGGGGAAAAATGTCCCTCTGCAAAAGGTGCGCGTTAAAGAAGAAAAAAATTTCGTGCATGGAGCCCGAAGTTGAGGTCATGTGGAGTGGATGGATATCTGAAGTTTTCGGGTCACGTATCCGAAAATTTTAGGTCCAGCTGCCTCGGTTCGGTACAGGTACATACCGAGGACCGAGGTGCTTCAGCTGTGTGACCCGATTCCTTCGATATCGTACCGGAGTACTTTCGGAGGATCTAGCAATTTCCGAAAGGAAATTCCCGGACATTTCCCTGATATTCCTGACGAAAATGGCCAAAATACCGGGAAAAATTTAAAATTCTCTGACAGACTGAAAAATTTTCCTGATTTTCCGACACAGTTGAACTGATTGCATGTAGGTAAGAATTGTTTCATGTTTCAGGAATATAATGTAAAAAAACGAGCAAAATATGTGGTGCCTAAACTTATACGAGATATTTTTTTCCTAAATTTTAAAAATTAGAAGACATCAGCAGAAATTCTGGTAGAAATCTCCGCAAGAGTAAAATTCGCGAAACATTTTCCGAAAAATAGGTATTTTTCGATTTCCCTGACGTTACCCTGGCACGAAAATCGCCTGCAAAATAAAATTACCTGACATGCCGAATTTGCGAATTCCCCGACGTTTCCACTGATTTCCCTGCCAAAAAATAAAATTCTCTGAAATTTTCCCGGTTTTTCCGGTCGCTCGACACCCAGACTTCAGGTATGTGACCTGAATCCTTCGATATCGTACCAGAGTACTTCAGATGTTTGACCCAAACTTCGGCAGCTGAACCTCAAGTTTTCGGATGCGCGACCCGAAAACTTCAGGGACCCATATAACCTCAAACTCGGGTCACACACAGCAAGTTTTTTTCACCGTGACGAGGAAAAATACTTAAAAATCAGTGCTCATTGGTGTTTTTCCTTATTTTCTGTGCAAAAAGAGGGAGAAAAAAAAAGTTTTCAGAGAGAATTTTCCTCGTGCGCTGACGAACTTACTCCCCTCACGCACGCGCACGAATATTTTTTTCGCCCCTCGCCGTGTACAATATTTAACAATTTCATCGCGATTTTTGACCATCCAAGGGGAAAGGGAAACTTCGAGACGCAAAAATTGCACCAATAATTTAGGCGTTTGGGGCAGAAAGGGCATTTTCTCGGTTGCTGTGTTTCAGAATCTTCAGTGCTAGTTTATATTTCAGAGAGGAAAATATCGGGTTAATTTTCTGCGATTTTACGTTTTCGGCAGAGTGAAATCATAATGAAAGTTTGGTGAAAGTCACAACACAACACGAGCATATTCTGTCACCATCTGCAGGGTGGCGAAATTTCATGATATGAAAAATCTTGAAATTTCACGTGAAATATTCCATGAAATTTCAGAGATTTATGTTTTTTCATGTTTCGCAAAATGTAAAAATTGTGACTTTTTTCTAATTTTATAAGTTTCAGTGCGGGTTGCATGCTCTATAGCCCCTGGAAAATATGAAATATTTAACAGCCTCGTGCAATTTCATTAATATTTCACAAAAATTTCCAGTCATGCATTTCTTTCTTGCGTTTCATGCCACCCTGGTCATCATAATAGTATGAGGTACGGTACATACATTTTCTGGGAAACGAGTGAGTATTTTGTTTTCAAATTTTTCGGGAATCTCATTCGGAATTTGATCTATAAATTACCTGAGAATTTCAAGATAAACAATTCATGAATTTCCACAAAAATAAATATTTCTTCGGGCGAAAATTTGACAGCACTCGAATGTTCATAATACGCTTTTCCTCAGCACGGTATAGTATTTCTTATTCACCAGATTTTCATAAAAATGCGATGGACCTAATAAGAAATCTCATCACGATTTGATCATACATTTTTAAAACTAAAGCTTTTCATTCAACTTGATACACTTAATGTATTGAACTATTGATACAATCAATTAAAATTTATTCTACGCTCGAAAATAAATCAAAATTGTTAACCAATTTCTCGATGTGATCAAATTTCCATAATTTCCTTTCTGCTTTACGCGGGTCAATTACGACCAGATATACTGCCGTGCTAGGGAAAAACGCCGTATGAGCATTCGAATGTTGCCAAATTGCCTCTCGGAAAATATTTGGTTTTTTTTTTTTTAAAGAAACGTATGAATATTTTTCCTTGAAATTGCCAGACACTTCAAACCAAATTACGAGCAAAATTTTCTGAAAAATCGGAAGAAAATTAACTATACATTTTCCCGAAAATTCGTGCGATTTCTCGAAATAAGTTTGGCAACGCCTCAAGGCTGATACGACGTTCGTCCTTCGCACGGTAGTAAAAGGGGACGAACCCTGCAGCCCGCTATTCGCGATCAAGTACGGCACCCTTTCTTTCATAAGCTGGAGACTTGAACGCTGCGGTAGGAATACGAACCAAAATCGACGGGTCTCGATAAGAAGACAACCCTACCATTGGTTCGAGCTGCGAATAACTTGGTTCATGGTTCATGGAAGCCTACCGAAAAATTGGGCAGGGACCAACTCTCTTGAAAAAGGAAATATTTCCTCGCTGTCGTGTAGTTGATTGGCAGACTTCAGCATGACCACAAAAAAATGGGCCAGTTGCGCGGCTAACAGAATTGTGTTTTGATGCTTGTTTCTTGTAGATAAGCTAAAAATAAGTGAAAAGATCTGTCCAAACATAAATTTTCTATGTTCAATATTAACCGAGATATCGCCCTTTGAAAAGTCTGGTTTTTGACGTCAAAAATCAAGTTTTTCAAGATGCAATATCGCGGTTAATATTCAACGTAGAAAGTTGCTGTTACGACGGATCTTAATATTTTTAGCTAATCTGCAAGAATCAAAAGGGTGTCTACTAAAACAGGCTGCCCGAAAATCAGTACTTTTAAAGTGCTTTTTTAGTAATTTCTCAAGAAATTCAGTATCTCCTCAACAGAAAAATTCAGTACTTTTCCAGTACCTTCAATTGACGAAATTCGAAAAATTTCAAAAATTTGAATTTCAAGTTGCGAAAAAACATTACAAAAAAATGGAAAAATTCCGGAATTTTTGCAGAATTTCCGTACTTTTTCAGTACTTCCGGACCGCCCTTAACAAATCAGTACAATATCCGGACTTTCCGGAAATTCCGGACTTGCAGACACCCTGATTAAGCATGAAAACACAATTCTGTGACCAGCGCAACTGACCCATTGAGGGTTGTCATTCCCTCATTTTCCCGGCTTCTCCCGGACCAATTTATAAAAATTACCCTAATTTCTTGTGTAGATAGGGGATGATAAAAAATAATTTTATAATAGTACCTAAGTACAATTCCGGATCAAAATTATGTGGAAAGAACTTACCACCACCATGAATGGAGAAATCCGGGCGGCTCGCCCAATGTGATATTTTTCTCCCATCGGATCTGAAAAAAGAATAAAAAGGAAAATGAGTTGTACGTTCAAAACAAATTTCACCGAATTTTCTTTTGATTACACGCAGTGTTGCCACAACTTTTAGGAAATGAAATTCCCTGACATTTCCCTGATTTCCCTCACACATTTAACTAAAATTCCCTGACTAAGAGAGGGGAGATCTAGAGGGGGAGAGGGGGCAGTTTATGGGTGGAAGGACAATTTCGGGCCTTGGTAATAGAAGACGCAGTAAGAAAATCATAAAATTCTTCAAAAAATATAGAAAAAAGCATCGCAGCTATCAAATAACCATACATTCTCAATACGGGCCTCGTAGGCCCCGGTTGGTAATCCGTGTAGGTAAAAACGGTTGGGAATCGAAGGGTTAAACAATAAAAAAATAAATAAAAAAATAAATAAAAAAATAAATTAAAAAATAAATTAAAAAAAATAAAAAAATAAATAAAAAAAAAACAGCGAACTGATTAAATCAACTAAAGCTAAAATCAAATAAAAAAACTCGAATTCGCTTACGTCTTAAAACTTACCACTCCTCAACCCGAATCAGTCAACAATCACTAAGGATGGGAAGCGATAGCTGCCGAAACTAGTCTGGCGTTTTAAGACGTAAGCGAATTCGAGTTTTTTAGTTGATTTTAGCTTTAGTTCAACTTCCCTGACAATTGAAGAAGTGTCATACGGCCAAGAGGAAATGATTTGAGATAGTTTCCTGGCAAAATTCGTTGTTCTAAACGTCAAATCCATTCTAGAAAGCTAATACGATGAATTAACAATTTTTCCCTCAAACTTGCGTTTTTTTCCCTGACTTTTTAAAATTCCCTGACATTTCCCGGTTTCCCCGGTATTCCCTAACTGTGGCAACCTTGTACACGCTTATATCAGCAACATTTTGGGCAAAAGTAGCAATCATATCCGTGAATGATTTTGACTTGTTGGCTTCAACGTAGGAGGCCTGGGATGCAATCATGTTTTTCACCTCAAAAACTAAAATTCGAATTTTCGGGAAAAGGAGAAATTCCTAAAATTCCTGAATATTCAACAAGGTGAGGATTTTTCTTAGATTTCGAAATATTCTGACTTTACAATTTTTTCATACTTTTTGCGCGCGATTTCTCAAATAAAAAAAAAATCGAGGAAAATTTTAAGTGTGAAGGCGCTTGAACTTAAAAAATTGCCATGTTTAAAGTGAAGGGAAAAATCGCAAGGCTCCGCGAAATAGTTCCCTGGCTTCTTGCGGTTGCAAAAAATTAAACGACTTTCCCGGAATCATCAACATGTTGAAATACTTGAAAATTCGAAAACAAGGGAAAAAATCGGAAGGCCGGTCCGCGAAATAGTTCCCTGGTTTTTTGCGGTTCCACAAAATTAAACGACTTTCCCGGAATTATCATCATGTTGAAATACTTAAAATTCGAAAACAAGGGAAAAAATCGGAAGGCCGGTCCGCGAAATAGTTCCCTGGCTTTTTGCGGTTCCACAAAATTAAACGACTTTCCTGGAATTATCATCCTGTTGAAATACTTGAAAACTCGAAGGGAAAAAATCGGAAGGTTCTGCGAAATAGTTCCCTGGCTTTTTGCGGTTCCACAAAATTAAACGACTTTCCCGGAATCATCATCCTGTTGAAATACTTGAAAATTCGAAAACAAGGGAAAACATCGAAAGGCTCCGCGAAATAGTTCCCTGGCTTCTTGCGGTTGCACAAAATTAAACGACTTTTCCGGAATTATCAACCTGTTGAAATAATTGAAAATTTGAAAACAAGGCCAAAAGCATCCAACGAATTGAAAAGTCGAAAAACATTTGAGGATTTTCCTATAGGCGTCACGAACGCGCGTACATGAAGGATTGAAAGATAAATTGAAAATTTAAAGATAACCTGGCATCGACAGGCACCAGCAGCAATCTGTATGAAACTACTTTTTATGAAACCATAATCTTGAATCAAAAGGTCGGTGCACGGGGTTTATCAACTTATCAGGCCACTACGAATCCGTGCAAAAGTATGCAAAGGCCTTCACCCAGTGACATAAGAATAAACGCACGAGATAGCATTTTTCTCTCTGAACTGTCTCTGTTTTGATTCTAAGTTCGCTTTTTTTTCTAACTTTGCCGTAAAACGGTTTTTCGCAGCGAAGCAACTGGCTGAGCATGGATCGTTGTTGCTAGATTTTTCTAAAAATCGGGACTTTTCTGCACGCAACTCAGTGAGGCATGCAGATTGTAGGATCTAAAAGTCAGCAGGTCTCTCCTTCTAACTTTTAGAGAGCTGAGAGCTTGTTTTCTTGGCATAGGAGTTTTTCTAGAGCTTTTAAGCTTAAATTAAAACTCAAGACGACGTGATTACGTTTGAGTTTCAGAGGGTAAGTCGGCATTATTGTGTGGATTTCATAGAGGGGATGAATCAAGTTGTGCTTTTATGCTCCTGACTTTTTTTCTTTTCTTCGATCACCGAGTAGATGCATGCTTTTTCGATCCTAACAATAATGGTGTAACCTTAGAAATTGTATAGGGAACAGCTACATTTTAAGGTAAATTTTAAGACTCTCAATCAAGGCATTTAAGTTAATTTTTTTATTTCGCTTTTAGTCTATGAGTTGAAAAGTAGACATGTATTTGGAAGAGGGGGGAGACGATTTCTCCCCTTGACCTCGAAAATTTATTTTTTTGCCAATTATTTTCAATTCCCTGAATGTAGCCAACATTTTAAAAGCAGTATTTAGTGTTCCTATCAAATCAATTTTGTCGAAAGTGCCCTTGAGACCATTTAGATCGCAATTAGCAAAAAGGAACCAGCGCAATTGCCGTGTTTTCAAAATTGTGCAACTGCTTCTTTCCTTTTAAAAGTACTCAATATAAGCATCTGCAGTACTAAAATTTACACAGTTATTTTCCTTTAAAATTTACACTTTTTGGGTGAGAAGCAAAAACTATTTCCTATTCTGAGAGATTTTTTACATAATTATGAAGAAGCAACATTTTTACAGCTTTGTAATCGCGCTGGTTCCTTTTTCCTAAATGCGATCCATTTGATCCTCGCCTTCAAGTGCAAAATATGCAATTTTTATCGTGCGATTTGGCGGTTACACACAGAATCGACAAAAAGCCACCAATACGCATGAGATAAAGAAACCGACTTGATAAAAGATATCTAATTTTATTACATAATTGTTTTTCTAACTAACTTGCTTCGCCTTGTCTACATTTCGCCTTTTTCTCGCGTTTTACTTTTCGACGGTGAACTTCGCAAAGGAAAAATAAATCTTTAAGTGGGTGGTAGAACTTTCACTTTCAGTGGGTTTCGATTGTTGTCGATTGAGTTTGAACACTGTTGCGTGTGCGTTATCGATCATGAAACGATACAGGATGATTCATCAAGTGGCGATTACCGCGAGTTGGTTTGAATATTTTGACACTATTTAATCGGACCCACTCCTCGCCATTTGGCCGAAATTAACCAAAAGTAACCGGATCTCAGTAGCGATTCACAAGCTGGCAACACTATTTTTCCTCCGTTAAAATGTATGTTAAACAATCGATTCTTGAAGGGACAGATTGCCTTACCAAAAATCAATGTTTTTCATGGATTTTAATCCACCGGCTCCAGCACCCGGAACTTTCAGCCTCTGAACTCGGGACGGACGGTATGTCTATACCGGGTTGCCAAAGAGTTTGGAAAATGAAATTCCCTGACATTTTGGTGGAATTCCCTGACAATTAAAGGTAAGACAGATGGTTAAGAAGACATGTTTGAAAATGTTTTCCAGGCAAAATTTGTTGCTCGAAACCTAAAACGCATTAAAAAGAACGAAGAGGGGTGGTTTAACAAATTTTCCCTGGCATTTTCGTCGTTTTCCCTGAGATTTCCCGGTTTTCCCTGACTTTTTAAAATTCCCTGAGATTTCCCAGTTTTCCCTGACATTTTCATCATTTTCCCTGACATTTCCCGGTTTTCCCTGACTTTTTAAAATTCCCTGAGATTTCCCAGTTTTCCCTGGCATTTGTGTCATTTACCCTGAGATTTCCCAGTTTTCCCTGACATTTTCATCATTTTCCCTGACTTCTTAAAATTTCTTGAGATTTCCCAGTTTTCCCTGTCATTTTCATCATTTTCCCTGACTTTTTAAATTCCCTGAGATTTCCCAGTTTTCCCTGACTATGGCAACCCTGTACGTAGCCCGTAACTTTTATTCCAGTGTAAGCATCAGAATACTTAAATTCGTGGCTTGTCTACTGGTCCATCGCGTGGATCGCGGATAGATCGGCCGACCTCGCGCGGCTGTCGGTGACCGTGTCAAAAATTCATTGTCAACCGGTACGAGACCGGACACTCCGACTCCGTTCGACGACCGATGCTCATCTTCTCGAGTGGCCAGTCTCACGTTCGGTGCTTCGTCGCCCTCTGGCATGAAAGCGTATTTTAATTTCCACGTGAGCCCTGTTTTACGTGTAAATCTATGCGTTCTGGGGCTCATGCAGGAATCGAGGTGAGCTCTCATGTCGGATGCACGACGACTTGAACCAAGAAACGGCAGAGAACGGAGTTAGAAATGTCTGCGTTTACGGTTACTCACTCTCTGGATTACTGCGGGATGATTTTCTTCTGGTTCTGCGGGCCGATTATTGAAATTGATATACAAACCTATACACAAAGAGGACAAAAAGGATACGATGGGATTCTGTTGGTGGGAGCGGTTGGTTGCAGTGCTTCCATTTCCTCGAACTAGTTTCGGAACTTATGAGAAATTCCCGGAAATTCCCCTGATTTCGGAATTTTTCCCGGAACTTCTGAAATTTCCAAAATTTGTGTTCCGGATCTTTTAAATTTTTCGGAACTTTGAAAAAATCTAAAAAGAATCCCGGAACTTTTGACGGTCATGGAATGGGAGAAATTTCAACAAAAAAGTTCTGAATCCCGGAACATTTAACGGATTCGGTATTATAGCACTGGTTAGTTGCAATAGACAAAGGAGGTATGTAATAGACTGACATACAGCAACCCACGAGAGACCCCAATGTTACACGGAGAAAAAACTTCGTGCGAGGGACCCGAAGTTGAGGTCATATGGATCTCTGAAGTTTCTGGATCACGTATCTAAAAACTTGAGGTCCATCTGCCGAAGTTCGGATCAGACATCGAGGCACTTCGGTACGTACCGGATTACTTCAGATGTGTGACCCGAACCCTTCGGTATAAATCGAAGTGCTTCAGATATCTGACCCGAACTTCGGCAGCTGGACCTCAAATTTTCAGATACGTGATCCGAAAACTTAAGAGATCTATAAGACCTCAACTCCGGGTCCCACGCACGAAGTTTTTATCTCCATGTAGTCCATCATCTTCTCCCTTAGCAGGGCGTCTAGTATTTTTTAATTTTGAAAAATCCTGATATTTACAAGATTTTTCCTGATATTACATACAAAATTCCTGAATTTTTCATTTTGAAAATTCCTGATATTTTCCTGATTTTTCTCGACTCCTAGCACAGTAGGCAAAAAGCAGTAAGACTTTCTCCGTTGAGGAGATTCGCGTAAGAAAAATTTCTGATAAAATGTCCGATTTTTCCGATTTTCCTGACTTCTTCCTGATCGGCCATAATTCCTGATATTTTCCGATTTTTCCGGCTTTAACTGATGCTAGACACCCTGCTCAGTCTATAGAAACCAACCATTTCAACCAACAGGATCGCTCCATACTCTCCCTTTGCCTTCTTTGTCTATCGATTTGAATAATTCGCCCGCTGGTTAAAAGAGAAGCTAAGGATTTTCACGCCGCGATGCGCGAGCAGCGTTCGCTCGGGTCGGGAAACCCGGCGAAGAAAGCTCTGCTCGGGCGCCTTGAACGGCGGGCGTCGCGACGCTTTCTACGCCGCCGCGTCGCGGTACGGCGCTCGCTGAAGAAAGTGACGGGGCCCCCTCTCCCCTCCTTGGGGTCCTCGCACCACCCGCCTTGGGACCCGATTCGTTTTCGTAAGTTTCACTCCGTGTCAAGGTCGATGCCCCGACCAGCGGCATATGCACTCTTACCGAGAAAAAATTGGGAACGAAAACTAGAGTCCCTTTATACCCAGAGTAACGACAACTCGATTATCAGCTGACTGGCAGCCGACCTTGGCTGGCCATGGAGGCCGAAACGAGTGCACCCAAACGAACGATATTGAGGGATAAGGATCAGGAATCCTGCGATGTCTGTCACACAGAAACAACAACATCAACAAATTGATCAATTAAAAAGAAAATGAGATTGGTTTGTGAATAATTTCTTAATCTATTTTCATTTTGGACCGATGGCAATAACAATTTACTCTTGATAAACCACAATTAGGTAATATTTTCATTATTCTTGTTCACATACGAGGTACCGCCATCTTGGTGCACTAGTTTCGGCCTCCATGAGCGAGAACCAATCAGAATTGGATTTTTTTTTAGGCCACTTTCAGCCCAATCCTGGCCCAACCAAAAGTGAGTTGTCGTAACTCTGGGTATAAAGGGACTCTAACGAAAACGACCTCAGGGCTGTTGAGAAGCATTCGAGTGAAAGAGGTTCTTGTACAGCGATAGATAAAGAGATAGACTATCTCTGCCGCGCTAGCAAGGAGGGTAAGTGACACATTTTCGAAATCGAGTTTCCTTCAAAATTCGTCTTATCTGCTCTTCGAATAAAGTTAGGGCCTAGAAATGCAGCCAACCTATGAATTTCAATTATCCAGAACGAGTTACTAATACTATTATTACGATACGAACCGTCGTCTATAAAGTACGTGTTTGACTCGGGTTTTGCATAAATTTACTCAATTTCGCGGAAGAACGCTCATTTCTGTACATTCTTGGCCATCTTGGTTAGAATTGGAATCTGCAGACTGGCAGTGAAATTTTGTGCGTTAGAAGTTGGTTAGAAGGGTGGCTGCACTTTTGGGCCCTAGGCCCTCCATGAAGCGATCTGTCCATACTCTCTCTATACAGGTACTCTATTAGACGATGGCTCGAACCGATACGTCCATCGGCTGGCGCGAAGCTGAACTCGCCGCAAAACTACGACCACGCGTTGTTATTCTTGACTCCACCCTCTTTTGTATCATAGTGTAAGGAAAATAATATGCATCTTGGAGAAACTTGAACAGTGCTAACAATTTTTGTGTTAAAAAAATATATATAGATAGAGTCGAAGTTTCCTCTCATTTTATTTGAAATTGTTTGAAGAAATTCCCGTAGCGTTTCAAAAAAGCTGTCACAGCTGTGGGTAGCTTTTAAAACGGATTCATTAAAAATTAAACATGAGTATAGAAGAGGGAGACGTTAAAATCGGAGATAAATACGCTTTTCTTCGTGTGCAGCCATCGATATTTGGGTCCAATCACGGAAGGCGCGATGAGATAAATATTCGACCACGGGTGTGGGCATATTGCCGCTAGTCGGATTGAAGGCGCGTCACAAGGTGCGACGCTAAAATCGCCGCAGAACTTGAATCTCTTACCCCAGGTGTCTCCTGATGCCCTGTCATTCAAAGTCCTTCCTTCATCCTCACATTCCGGAAAATTCCTTTTTTGGCGATTCTCAAAAATCCTTGCTTTTACCTTACCGACCATTCATTTTTCACTATATTCGAATTGGGAAAGTGGTATGATGGAATGACGAGGGATTGAACCAATAAACACGAGGAATCCATTTCGGGATGTTGATAAATGGATTATGATAAAAAATCATTCACACCCAAGGCTACTCTCTTGAATGTGTTACAAAAATCTCAAAAATCCGTACCTTTTCCATACTACCGTACCGACCTTCCGATATCCGTGCTTTCCGGTGTGTCCATACTTTTTCTGTACAGTAGACACCTTGTTCCCGTTTATGTCATAATTTATCTGAATAACATTGACTTGTACTGGGAATCCAAAAGTCCCACGACAACCCTTCAAATCCTAGGGATTTCGTCCTTTTTCAGGGAAATCCGCCCAAAATATTGTGGGATCCCAAAAGTATTTTACTTTGACCTTGGAGCACTCACAAAATTTCAAGTCGTTTGTTCAAAAATTTCAAGGGGGTTACCTTGTCTTAATGGTGCCAGACTTTAAGATCACGATCTAGGTAAGAAATAAAAAGGTAAAGACATTGCTAACTTACCTCTGTTAGAAATGTTTGGGCAGCTTTTTGAGCTCCAACATGTAGGAGGTATTCATAAACATATAACGCTAACCTGAAAAAAAACAGAACGGATACAATTCAGATTTCAACGTATTCAAAAACATAATAGCTCAGCAGCATGTAAAAGAAAGGTCCTTCACATTATTGAGAAGAAACAAAGTTATCACATATGAGGGGCTTCAGAGAAAGGGCGCATAAGTGCAGTTTTTGCTATTTTGAGAAGTACGTGTTTGATGTTTCGAAATTACATGGATCCTTGTGGCGGAAAGAAAGTTCAAATAGACTTTTTGATGCTAAACAATTGGAATTTGGGAGCAAATTTTTCACGGATCATGCATTAAGACTAGTTTCACTTGAAATCATTAATACCTAATTTTTTTCAAAAACTGCACTAATGCGCCTTGTCCTCCAAGCCCCCCCATATGGCTTCATTCTCAAAAACTGAAGTAAATTTGTCTGGTGGAAATTACATATTGATTGATGGAGGGGTATCAATAGGGTCTGATTTTGGACCCGCCCTGAATTTCCTCAACTCTACGATCTTTTGCGCATTGGGCGTCTACAGTTTACGAAGTGCATCATGATTTGGTCATTAATGGTATGTTCTTAGAGCCGAGTCTGAATCAGCACCATTCAACAGGTTAATACATGCAGTCACATGGCACCACTGATGAGTGGTGACTTAAAAAATACTTGACTTTTGCCTCAACATACGATGACTCCACTCCAGGCCAGTGTTCCAACTTCACCTCCAAGTTTTAGGAGCCGTTTGGCCCATCAAGTTCAATTTTTAGGGGCCATTGAAGATTTTTTAGGGGCCGAATTGAATTTTTGCCTATATATCACGGCGCATTTAGTGAAAAGTTATACGCAAGATATACAGTTACAGGACTTGCAAGTTGCAGCTCGCAGCCATTACTTGGGAAAGGGAAAGGCCAAAGGAATGATATTCCGATTTAAAACAAGGAGCTTTTAGTTTACTTAAAGTTTGTTCAATTAAATAATACTTTTTCTGACTTCCTATTATGAAAAGTAGTAGAACGATTCTATATTATGTACGATAAGTAGTGCGATTCTCGATCTGCCGAGCCGCTGCCGCGACGAAGTTCCGCGCGCAACTGCTTGCTATGCGCGTTCAGTCCAGGCTGACTGACAAAAATCTTGAAATCATCAAACCGTAATTTAAGATTGCGACAATTTTTTAGGGGCCACGTTTGGCGCAGGGTCTTCATTTTTTAGGGGCCATGGCCGATTTTTTAGGAGCATTTGGCGACATGGCGCTCGTGGGGTTGGAACACTGCTCCAGGCCGTGCTAATTTTCTTTCCTCAAATCTACTGATTTTTTACTTCAAATATTGAATGGGCCTACATCACAGATATTTAAGGAAAAAGCTATAAAATAACAATGGACGAGACCAGTCCCTTCGAGATAAAGTGATAAAGAACTATGCATGGTAGGTACTTTGATGAGACTAGCTCTTGATATTTCTAGGTTTCTTAATTGCATTAAGTTAATGGACAAGATATGTTGTAGATTGAACAATTTGCAAGAATGACTTGTTTTCGGAGCAGAAAAAGTCCTATTATTAGTTTCGTTCACTCTAGCATGGTATTATTGCTCAAGTATTACGTAAAGCACACCTCTGGTACCATGATTTGGGGAATAGAAAGCGATGAGGAATCCTGTTATCCACATAAAATGTGACCTGCTGACATGAATTTGAAGTTGTAAACTTGATGAGGAAACTTGACAAATTGTAGCGAATACACCCTTAATGCAAAATAAAATAAGTTTCACATCAGGAAAAATTTCAGGGGGCAGATAAATTGTATACAAGATAAATCGTATACTCCCGTCGAAATCAGATAAATCATATACAGATGGATGGTGAGAGGATAATTCATATAATTTGCCAGTTTGTCAAACTGTTGGGCGATCGCGAAATTCACTCTACGATTTCTGATCATTCATAATTTCATAGCCCTTCTTTCTCACAAATAATGTAAGGAATTTTTTTTACCTGATACCACCAATAATTCTCATTTGGATTATTAATTATTTCTGCACTAATATTTCCAAAGACATATATTTCACATCTAGATAAGGTGGATAGCCAATTATCGATACTATCCACAGACTGTCCAGCTTTTTGGGGTAACGTAACCAGTCTGTTGGCTTAAATTTTAAGCGTCTTTGAGAAGAACTTAGTTCATTCTGACACTGTTGAGTCCATATAAAATTTAAAAAATTCTAGTGAAGAACTGTGTGCAGCCCGTTTAGGAGTCCCCAATATTTTGTGTCAATCTGTGTGGCAGTGACCGTTCGTCTGTCCTGATTAGGACGGAGGCCAATTTTTAATAATTTTAAATAAGTTAAAGATACAGTCCTACAATTTCAGTAGTGTCTTGCCAGTGGGTCAGCTCTTTTAGTATTTGTGTCTCCAGATATCCGTTGAAGTTCATCCATGTGGAGCTCCTGTACCGAAGTGTCTTGCGTCCCCGTCCTTGACTTCATTCGTATCTGTTTTTTCCGAGTCACTTGAACAGCTTACTCTTATTTTCATTTAAAATCTTCCAAAAGGTCTGATGTTTGAAGTTTACTTATCATAATTTAGTCAGGCCAATTTGTTCATCCTGCATGAATCATCTTGTTACGTCTCATTCCTCTCAATACGTGTGAGGACCCCACTAACTCCAGTTGAGAAATCAAGAGATAACGGGAGTATAAGGAGTCTCCGACAAGGAAGCTTAGCCACTGAAAGTTTCTTGATAACCCAGCATTTGGATAAATGATAACAGCAAGTCAAACCGCAGGTTTGCTTGGTTTCAAGAAACCTTATTGGCAGCCTCTAAAACAAGCCACTAATTAGTGGCAATGGCTCCAAATCCCTGGTAACTAACATCATCACTCTGTCTTTGAGCAGAGGTAAGTGAAATTGTCGTAACATCTTATGTCGTTAATGACTCTTGTAACTTATGTCGCAGCTGACAATGGAAGTAGAGAAAAATAGTCTCATATTTGAGGTTTTACATTTTCTGCTATCGCTGTCTAAATTACCAGAGACCTGAGTTGTTGGTGAGACCCACAGCTCAGCAAAACTTCGGCCTCTGCCTCCTAAAATTTTTCCTTTTCATCATTGGGCCTTATTTGTACACTTTAGTACCTACCCTGAAAAGCCGCTTTCTGCTGACTTCAACTGGTCAAGGGCATGGAGAAAGGCAACAAAATACGTGATAGAAAGATAACTTCAGCGGCCTCGTCATATCGTTGGGTTTGTTCTACTTATCTTTTGTGAACATTAAAAAAAGTCGCTTGGTACCTAACGTCAATATAATCAACGACTCTCGGGCCATCCTAGTCACCTTATTGGCTACTAATCCCTAATTAATGATCACCATCTCTTCTTCCTTGAGGGTCCGAGGGTGAGATGTGTTTCAGATATTCTTAAGAATATCGACATTTCAAATAATAAATGTCAAATTCTGCTATCTATATTGCCCTTTTGCCTTTTCCGAAATGAGGTTAGTTTAAATTGTTGGTAGATTGCTAACAAATCATAACAAGAGTACAGTTTGATGTTCGGTACCCACCAACCAACAATTTGATGCTAGTATGCAATTTACCCATCGGACATCCAGTATATGAATTACCGTGTATGCGATTTATACTAACTCAAAATTTCAGATGAATCCTAACCAACAACCAAGTTGACAACTGAAGAATTCTTCTTCTCCCTCGAATATAATATCAGCTACAGACAGCTATGAGGACTCGCAGGAGAGTATAAGACTATCGATTCTTCCTGCCAGTTGGACTTGCAACTTTTTTGAGACATTGTCCCTCATGGCAATATTGTCAAGGCAGAACTAAATTGTTTCCACAGTCCTGCAGCTTAGCTATTTTGGTATAATTTACTTGGACCGCATTAGGCAGAAAGGAACCAAGCCACATCAGATATTTCCAAACTCAATCGAGCACTTTTATTTTTCACACATCGACGGTTTTACAGATTTTTGTGCAAATTCCAGTGAATTTTCTGCATAGCACAAAGCAAATTACTTGAAATTTTCAAAGGAATCCGGAGAAACATTCTCTCATAAAATGTTAAATTTGGCAATAGCTGACGTGGCTTTTTTTCTTTCCGTTAAAAGTGGTCCACTAATTCCTTGTGTTTGCAGGAAACTATTTCTTACATTAACATTAAACTGTCATTTGTTAAAGTGAAAGCATGCTTGTGTAATATATTTAGAATAAATCACAGATACAGCCATCACTGATGAATATTTTGCCTCCTAACAGATTTGACAGCTTGATGCCTCTTACAATCTTCCTGGCGTGGACTATACGACTTATCTCCGAATGAGGTTAGGTTTCAACCAGGGCTAATAGTAATTTTAGCCAGGTTGTCAAAGTAAGCTTCTCCGATTCTATATGGTTCTTCTGTTTGCAAATGCAACCCAGTGGTCACATCAACCTGCCAAAATAGTTGAGCGTTTGGTCGAAACGCTAAACACTCATGAGTAAGCGCACAAATTAACCAGTAATTTAAACTGAGTCCAGCAACACAAACTGTTTGGAATCCCTTTCTGAACGGCCCTGCGCAGTTTACTCTTACAACACTCTTAACGATTGGTATTCTAATTCGACATGATAAGGTGAAGGTTTGTTTACTTCCCAGCCTCTTAAATTGACAGCCTGCCAGAAATGGATTTTGTGTCTCAACTTGTACTCAAATTCAACTGATATCCTGATTTGGTTTAAGCTCGTTTGTGACTTCCTTTGCAAACAGGAAATGACAAGAAATGATAGAAATTGAGGTATTATTTGGTAAAAGGGTGGTAGAGACTTCCAATGCTGCAAAGCTTGTACAACGTCATTCTTTAGTAAATAAATTGTCAGACAGTTCTGCTGTAAATATTTCACCGAATCTGTACAAGGTTTTTCTTTTTTACTATGAGGAAGTAAGTCGACTGAATTTCATCTGCCGCAAATTCTACAAAAAATTGCACCATCTTGGAGCGGGCGCATCGTATGTTAGCGAATGTCAATCTCTGATTACCTCTGAATCAGCACCATTCAACAGGTTATTACATGCAGTCAGATAGCACCACTGATGAGTGGTGACGTAAACAATTGACTTTCGTCTCAACATGCCATGCGTCCGCTCTTGTAGCATAGCAAACTCTGTACACCCTTTTACCAAAAGTCCTCAAATTCACGATGTCAATCTGATCGAGATAGTATTGATTGGCTACTCCTGGCGCAAACCTGACGAATAATCCACAAAAAGTGAATATTGGAGGTAAATTATCAAATTAACGGCAGGGCTTGCTGATAGGCTGTCGACCAAGCCAAGGGGATTGTTATCACTTAAGAGGCTGTAATTCACCTAGTCACAGAAAAAAGCTTGAGTAAAGAACTGACGCTTCATTGTGAACATTGCCTAGTAGTACGCTTTCTGATGAATCGAAGCAAAAAACTGACAACACTATGGAAAAGTGTTGCGACCGTGGAGACGGGAGAAATGATGTCGCTGAGCGATAACAGTGAGAAAAGTGATATCAGATCAGTTTCAGATAAGAAAGCACGGGCATCCACTCTGGATTAGGCAAGAGAAACGAAACTCCTGTGATAAGCAATAGGGGAGTGCCAAAAAAAGTTTCAGAAAACAACTAACAAGGGAAACATAACCAAAAAACCTCCGAGTCATCCGCGCCTGATAATAAAATAATGTAAACAAAAACACTATTTCACAATCACTCCGCTGCAACTGATTATAGATGCACATTTTCACGACCGTTTCTCTGCGAGAAACTCAAGGCGATGTGGATTCGGAACCGAAAACACTGGAAGCTTTTCCGCCGACCAAATTAATCTTCGGGAACTCGTTATTAATCTAATGGCGACTCTAAGGAAACACAGAAAATGGTTCCACAAATTCACTGACAGGACTTACTTTTCACGGGCTTGGGCATCAGAGGGAACTGATGAGCCTTTTCCTTTCGGATACATGGTAAGTAAAAATTCGAATCGTCACTAATCACACACGAAAATCCATCGCGACGCACGGAAACTTTAGTCGGAAACTCACAGTTCCTATTGCACGAGGGAACGCCGAATCTGTAGCTTACCGCTTACTGGCATGCCCGCAGTATGGCCGGTTTGCGTAAGCAGCCAACAAGAGAGATAGCGACATTATTAGAGAGAGAGAGAGAGACGTTTTCAGACCGCCATTGGACCAGCGATTACTCCGCGCGGCTGTCTCTCGTTGTGAGTGTCCTCCCTGCCTGCGAGTCTCCCATAGGCGCAGACGATTATTTACCTCTTTAGTATCACTTCGATTTTTATCGAAAAGACCAACTTATTCCTCAGTAATTTTTTCGAGTACTCAATGACAGATATTCTGCTCTTAAATTTCGTATAAATGGGTGAAAAATAGACGTAATTCAATGAGAATTCTCGGCGAGTGATAATTTTCGCGGGAGGCTACTCGCACGGAGTGAAAGCCGGGAAGGATAGTTGGAGGAGGATATCGACGGTTTCTGGTTTCTGGCATGTGAAAGAAGTCAATATCATAGAATGTTATTTCAATATGCTTTCGGCTAATCTTGTTGATCCATTTTCGCCGGATCCCGGCTAATTTTCGTTAATTCGCCGCCAAAATAATCACTCCCATCATCTTCCCGACCATCCAATTCATTCATTCGCAACTTTCCGGCGCGCGATACTCGGAATTCCGAAAAGTGCGCGTCTTATTTTCTCGAAAATCGCGTTCGTGTTTTCGTTCCAGCGACGAAACCACGAATCTTCGGCGTCGCCTATCCTCCGGAGGTACAATTTTTTATTCTCATCCCGCTCTTCTCCGTACGGACGGCGCTGCGTTCATTCCCTTCAATGCCTCCTCATTGAAACACAGGCCTATTTTAATACATGTCAACGTGATTTTCCCGAGTCCCACGAATTTTGAGTTGACTGTCCCTAAAATCATTTCGCTGGAAACCTTGATCCACTTGGAAACGTATCGCAGTGCGAGGGTTTTAATCTCTCTCCTCCTCCCCTCCGAGCCACGATAGCGTTCTCTCGACGATGATAAGCTTTCTCGGAGACGAAATATGACGAATTTGAAGGCCATAGTTCGGCCGAAGTTACCACTATTCAGATTTCGCATCATCGTCCTTCTCCCTATCACGTGATGCAGACGAGAGAGATAAACCCCCCTCACCCCCCTCTCCCTCGGCGCGCGTTTCCCCGCCATTCTCGCGAGTAGTTCAACGCGCGCTTTTTTAAAAACGCCTACTTTTCCACGCTGCGCTGACCGACCGTCTGGAGTATACTCAACACTCGCCTAGAAAAGTTTTCCCCTTTCATTTCAGTTTTGTTGTTATTCGATGTTCCATTTTTTTCTCAGCTTGAACACTTGCCTTTTTATGGATTTCTAACTTATTTTATTTCTATTTTTGTAGGAGAGTCAGCCGTGTTCGCTGCATTCGTAGCGCGTGGAATCAATGTGTCAATGGACCTGCCAACTTTCAAAGAGCAATGCGAACGTTTTTTGTCCGTATCTGACAGGATCAAAGATGGCTGGACAATAATTCAAGCAAATTCTCTTTCTACCGTACGTGTTCTCTCATACCACATTTAGCGATTCGGAACGACTCCATCTGGCTTATTTTAGAAACAACGTATTTGCAAGGTCTCCTTATGCAGATAGGCGCTTTCATGAATGAGCCAGTAATGGTGCAGTTCCTTTTTGCAAAATGTATTCTAGTGTAACTGAACTGCATTTTGCAACAAGGATCCAGAAATTATGCAAGAATGCTGAATATTTTGCAACTTCTTTTACGTTACGAGAAAATTCAAAATTTTGGACATTTGTTATCTCCGCACTCAAACACTGTCGATGGAACAGAGGAATTTTTCAATTTTCGGATCATATTCGGTCAGTTTATTTTAAAAATAGAAAGACAGACGATTTTAGTGGTAATGCAATACTCCTTCATTTACTCATCCTTGGTCCTCCATTTATAAGAAATGAACCAAAAAATTATGAAATAACAAACATAGATGTGGTTTAATTATTTTAACTTCCACCGCTGCGAGCCCGGCTGATCGCACTGTGTTTTGCGCAATGCGTGAAGTATTCATGCAGTCTTGTAGGCGCTATGCGTTTCACGCCAACCGCTGCTGGCCGCACTGTATTTGACGCAATGCGTGAAGTATTCATGCGCTCTTGTAGGCGCTATGCGTTTCACGTCGACCGCTGCTGGCGGGCTGGCCGCACTGTGTTTGACGCAATGCGTGAAGTATTCCTGCAGTCTTATAGGCGCTAATATGTGTTACATGTCGACCGCCGTGCCGAGGGCTTGTCCTTATCATCTCAAGTCCTCGTCAATATTCCTCTCTGCGCTGAGCTCCAGGCCAAATGGCATGTTAAGTTCCTCTCTTAACTCGACTAATTAAAGATGATGTCTCTTGTATTACCGAAAAACGACCAAATTAGAAATTACTATACTCTCAGGAAAGAGAGATTTTGTCCCCTTTTCTCATTGATAATTTTTTTTTCTGAATCCGATTTTTTTTTTACACCTACATTTAAAGAAATTGCAAAATTTGCCGCCATGGGCCGCGGCCCATGTGGCCACCCCCTTAATCCGGCCCTGGTGAACATTCCAGATATTAAGAGCGAATTGAGTAAAAGCTACCCCATCATGAAAGTGTTTTAGTATGCATTCCTTTTCGTTATCAAATGTTAGTCGGTACTTTTCCTCTTTAATGTGTTTTATTTTACCCTTAATTTTTCCTTTTTTTATTTTTTCAGTGTGATTTTTATTTGAAAAAACGCATCAGCCGCATTTTAAATGTTGAAACCAGTAATTCAAATCCTGAAGAGTGCGAACCCGGAAATGAACCAGAAATTACAGATTTTGAGGTGAGCTTACTTAAAGTCTTAAGTTCGTTTACCTATTATTAGGTACCTTCCTAAACCTTCTCCCTGAGCCACACGGCTTTTCGTTGCACCAACATAACCCTTAATCGAAGGTAAAAGTATAGCTATAACGAACACGAACTTTGATTTGCGACAACACAGATAGGTCGTCCTTTTTTTTCGTTTTGAAGAAAAACCAACAAACTTAATTTTTTGGAATTCGTATCGATTTTTTCATTTTATGTGTACCATGCACCTTGGTCCGCAACAATGTCGAACGATGTAGTTTAAATGCTGTTCTCTGAAAAACTGAAACAACAGGAGAGGTCTTGAACTGTCGCAATTGAAATAGGAATTTTGCGACTTTTTATATCATTAACACACGATTTGGTGGAAAATTTGGCAAAGGAATCGTTTTTCCCCCTATTCTCGGTTGTATCAAAATGATTGTTCACACAAAATTAACAAGAGACAGTATGTGCGAAACATCGATGAAAATGATGTCTGTTTCCAGATCCATTCGATAAAAATGACCAGAGGTGAATCACCGGATTCACTTGCAGTTCCTTCATTTCGGTGGGTATGCAATTTGATCCCCGCGAAGTTAAAATAGTTGCTCTGTGTAAAAGGAACGGCGCGTCATTAGCTGCACGAGACGCTTATAAGCACACTGGATCCACTCAGAGTTCCTTCATTTTGTTGGGTATGCAATTAAATCCCCCCGGAGTCAGAATAGTTGTTCAAGGTCTTACACGGCACCCTCAATTTCTCACCTGATTACACAAATTCCTCTCCATCGAGTTTGTTCACGTTAGTCCACAAGAGCCCTATGGGAAACCTAAAACAAATGCAATGAACCAATCAGAGAGCGGCACAGGCATGACAATACATACAAGAGTCGCTTTCATAGCGCTCTTTGGCGCCGTGTGCGACGCCTTAATCGCCACAAAACTCGGTCTTCCCACAGGTCATCAGGGAGTTGACACTACCTCATTTCATTTAATACCCCCTATCGCCACCCTCTCACTGGGCGTCCCCTTCGTCTCCTCCCAGGAGGAACCCAAGTTGAACTCAAGGCGAAGTTTAGCAGCTGAAGAAACGGACACAGGATATACTAAGAGCAACGGAGGTGGATTTCTGGAAGAGGTCGGCAGGAATTTCTAGGAGAGATCGGGTCCGTAATGAGAGAATGGAAGTCGAAAATGACATCGTGTTCGACGTCATGACCAAATAGCTTGTCTGGTACGGTCATGTCAAGAGGATGACGGAAGAAAGGCTGCCAAAAAAGATGCTTGATTGGGTTCCTCCTGGGAGGAGACAGGCATGACAATATACTCCTCCTAAATAAGCACTCTGTGTTACGTCGGGACCAGCATTTTGTAAAGCACTATTTTTGATTTTTTTCCTCTGAAAATAATTTTTCCAAGGACCTATAAGGAATTTCTTGGAATGGGGCGGGAAGTTGCGTTTATTTTCCCTCCGTTTTCCTTGTTTTTCCTTTGAAATAGCCAAGAGGCTAACATGTTTAATTATATCGCCGCATTTTTTCGTCCCACAGGATCCAAGCTCCGAAGATACGTCAAATTTTCCCGAGACGGTTACTTGGGAATACCACGTGATATTCAGTGAAAGCTACGGTGTGCCAGTGCTATATTTTAACTGTTGGAAAAACGGTAATATTTTAAGAGAACAACCTTTCGGAAGTAAAGTAATAGATCGTTTTCGATACATCAAATAGGTGAGATTGTATCGATATCGATTGGTTCAACATTTAAACATAGCCTTGACATAGCCTCAAAAGTCAATCGAGTAATCTGAGGAAACAGGGTTATTTTCTGATAGATTTTTGATTCTTACGAGTACTTAATGGCATCGCAAGGTGAAATAGTTAGGAATTTTCTCATTTTCAGCTTTTCCGACTGAAATCCTGAAAGTTTTGTTTGAGGTTATGTTCTGTTGTTTTGAACCAAACGATACATCGAACCACTATTGAAAACGATCTATTTGAGTAGCTCAGAGGACAAGGCGCATGAGCGCAGTTTTTGAAAAAATTGAGATATACATGAACTTAACTATGAAACTAGTTTGAAATCATATTCTGAGTAAAATTCACAACTAAAATCCGATCTGAAAGCATCAAAAAGTGAGTTTAAACTTCCTTTCCATCTTAAGGCTCCGTGTAATTTTGAAACTTTAAACACGTATTTCTCGAAATACCAAAAACTGCACTTATGCGCCTTGTCCTCCAAGCCCCTCATTTGAGCTTCTGTTCTAATTACACTCCTTAAAATCTTATCACGCAACGATATTACTATTCAATCACGGGTGATGCCTGTATTGCCACCAGCAGGATTGAAGGCGTGATTTACTGCGACGAATTTACGCATTAAAAACGTAAAATATCACAGTTCGGAGTTAATTTCAGAAATTTTCAAAATCGTGTTTTAAGTATAAAATTTCAATAAGGGTCATGAATTAAAATGCTTCAATTCTTGCCTTGTTTATTGGTTCATTAAATTATTGATTCTACGTAAAGCAGCCTACTTTGGTGAAGATAGATTTTTTTTTGTTTAAATGGTCGAGGTATGCCAACTTTCGAGGATGTCCACTTTGCTAATTTGAAGTTGAAAACTAATTTCAATCTTTCAGATGGGTCCATTTTACGGTATGAAGAAATATTATCTTGGCTACATTCTGAAATGAAATCTCAGCTAATTGAAAATCGCTGGCAAAGTATCACTCAACAGGTTGGTGAAAACTTTTTTTTTTTCTTTTACTCCTTCATTTTTTTTAGAATGAGACTGCGGCTACCGTATACTGCAATTATATACACTCCACAACATGTGTCATAATAATTTGTTTTTAGCTTGATAATAATACAAGTTGAATTACGGTATTAATCGAGCCTTAAATTAATTCCAATGCTCATCACGATCAGAGGCGTGGTGTGAAATGTGATATATCGATTGTTACGCCATTTAAGCCTATGGAAAAGGATCGATACACGGGGTGTTCGCAGCGAACGCCTTAATAATCGATTCTTTACCATAGGTTTAAATGGCAATACAATCGATATATCGCAAAGCACGCCACGCTACTGATCACGATTATATAAATAAACGACTATCGTTGCAAGCAGAGTATTTTGTGATGTAGGTATTCAAAATCAGCTTGGCTCCAGCTTCACCATTTTATCACCTCAAATTATTTCTTTGCAGGAGCATCCTGTTCTCGGTAGGCCTTTCTACATGCTGCATCCGTGTAAAACCGCTGAATATCTAAATCTAATCCAGAAAGAATCAAGGTAAACGCAGTATACTATTTACAGAGGATCATTAAGAACAAGTACTTGTTTTGGAGGGTATGAATTCGATCGACATGAATCGATCAAAAAATGAACACCTTAACCGATCGACGTGAATCTATCGACACTGATTCGATCGAAAAACCCGTGAATCGATCGACACTGATTCGATCAAGAAACCCGTGATTCGTTTGACAAAATCCGTAAATCGATCGACAAATCCGCGAGTCGATCGACAAATCCGCGAGTCGATCGACAAATCCGTGAATCGATCGAATTGTTTCGATCAAATTGGTGTCGATCGAAACCAGGGCCGGATTAAGGGGGTGGCCACATGGGCCGCGGCCCATGGCGACAAATCTATAGGCAAATTTTGCAATTTTTTTAAATGTAGATGTAAAAAAATTCGGATTTAGAAAAACAAATTACAAACGAGAAAAGGCGACAAAATCTCTAATTTTCTGAGAGTATAGTACTTATAGTACTTTTGTCGTCTTTCAGTGATACAAGAGACAGCACCTCTAATAAGCCGAGTTAAGAGAAGAAACCAAACACGCAATTTGGCCTGGAACGGCGCGACTTACGGAGAAATGGTGACGAGGACTTGAGATGAAAAGGAGAAGCCCTCGGCGCGGCGATCGGCATGTAACACATATTAGCGCCTACAAGACTGCACGAATACTTCACGCATCGCATCAAACACAGTGCGGTCATTGCGGACAGCGTGAAACGGATAGCGCCTACAAGAATGCATGAATACCTCACGCATTGCGGCAGACACAGTGCGATCAGCGTGAGGAGCGTGAGACGCATAGCGCCTACAAGACTGCGTGAATACTTCACGCATTGCGTCAAACACAGTGCGGTCTGCGAGGCGCGGTGGCGGAAGGTAAAATCATTAATCCACATTTATGTTTGTTCTTTCATAATTTTTTCGCTCATCTCTTATGAATGGAAGGCCTTGTCCACACAGAGATAGGTTTACGAAACTTAACTTTCGCGCGAAGTTCCGTGGACTTTTGACAGAAGTGTTGACAGGGCTTTCCCAAAAAATGTGTTCAACACTAGTAAACGCGTCTTATGCACCCCTCCCCCGCTGGCACGTTCATTTGATGGTTTTCATTGATGTACCGAAACGAACGAGAAGGGGGCGGCAAAATACTAGCGACCCATGGGCGGAAAGTAGGTAAATCCGGCCCGGATCGAATCACGTCGATCAATTCACATTTTTATTTTTCTATCGATTCATGTCGATTGATAAAATAATTAATAAATGAGATTGACGAAGGCAACGCCTGGTGCAGGCAAGAAAATTCTGGCTTAATTTGTACAAATATTCTTTCGCAGACCTGAAAGTTTTGGTAGGACAACGTACATTTTTTTCAAACAAGCTGTGAACTAAGTTTAAATCAATTATTTTAAAATATCACTTTGTTCCCTCTCGTTTACTGTCCAATGGAACACCACACAAGATAAGAATCTAAGCATTTTGAACTCTAGTACATGGTTCGAGGTACATGGGTAGAGGCCGAGGACTCGGAACCCAACGACCCTATTTACCATGCCACAATCTTGCGCCGTGAATGAAAGTGCGTGTTTTCTCTCGAGCAACTATTTTAACTCTCCGGAGATCAAATTGCATATCCGATGAATTGAAGGAGCTTTAAGTCCGCGGACTCGCATTTCGCAACCTAATGATCTTGCTTGAGTGTTTCCGAGTCCTGCTTAAGTATTGTATTTGTGTGTCTGCCGCAACTGGCAACAAAACACTGAAAAAAAATTATTGTCATATTGGTATCGTTAAGTTTAAGTTTAAAAACAAACATAACGAGACAACGTTTCTTCAACTCAAAAAATCAAAAAACCATATTTTGTCGACAAAAAACGACGCTTATTTAAGGCTAAATAATATCTCAAGAAAAAATTTTTTCAGTGCATGTTAAGTGATTCTGCAACAAAATTTCAGGTGGAACACGATTCGCGCGACGAATATCACTGAAATCAACTTCTAGCCGCGATATTGACGTTTTTACATATATTCAGCATTGGTCACAAATAATGCGAATCAAATGCAAATCGTGTATCTATACAACAGTTTTAACAGACTTCTCAATCAAGCAGTACTCCGTTGCTTCCCCACCGTGTTTCGTTCAAAGTGTGAACAACGAGCAAAAGCTGAGCCAAAGCGCCGATATTGGGGTTGTCATAATCTCATACCGCAGAGACTTTCTCGGTGACGTTCAGTTTGCAATTTCACTCAGATATATAATGGTTTTTTTTTCTTCTTCTTTTTTCTTTTTTTTACCATGAGCGGGACGTTCGCATTCATGCATAGAAAAACATTGATATCTAAGGTCGGCACTTCTTTCAATAATTTTCGTTGCACAAATCGTGTTCCACGGGAAAGTTCAACGAGAAAACACATCACATAATGCTTAAATTCGCACCTTGTCTTGTGGTCCTTTGCATTTCGATGGCCTCAGTGCGAAACCACGTATCTCTTTTACGATGTTTTATAATCTCCGCTCCTACTCTATTTTGTTCCGAGGACCAGTACAAAAAATAAAAATCTGGCAGAAAAATGAAGCGTCGAAAGTTTTCTAAAATCTTAAATTGATCTGTGTGGAAACAACCGATTACAGCCATTGTTCTTATTCTTTTCAGTGTAAATCCTCTGGTATCGTGGCTCTCGAGTTTCGGAGGAGCAATTGGGCTGAACATACCCCTGAATTACGGAGTGAGTCCCCTCGTTGGAGAGCAGTAGGTATGCAGCAAAGTCATAAATGAATCGGGATTAAAAATTAGAAATTTTGAAAAAATCCATCGAGTATGTTGCAACTTTCTACGATTTTCTTATCCACTCGATATTTCTGTCTAATTATTTTAATTTAATGAAAATAAATTACTTACAGAAACCTCTTCGACGTTGATGCAGGATGCACGACTCACAATGTACTTGTGAATCAGTCTCTGTGATATCATGTATTTTTAGAATTATACTTTGGCATATTATTATTCTTGCATTTCTTTATTTTCACTTGACTTATTTTCCCCGTGCACTTAAACTGCTCTAGACGAACCAGACTCAGTGTAGGATTTTTTTAATTTTTACCCAGCTCGAATGTGTGAGATTGATTTCAGCCCCCCACCCCCCTCCCTCGGTGAATGGGTCCGGAGGACGCTCTGAAACTTAAGGGGAATTTAGGGGAATTCCGGAGGTTCCTCGTAATTTTTTAAAAACCTAGAATCAATCTCTTACATCGAATTTTTAATACAGGGTGTCTCACGTCCGGGAGTCACCCGGAGTAACTGCCGAACGCGTCAGGATTTCGAAAAATGGGTAAAAGCGCCGTTTATATCGAAGGGGACACCTTTTGGTGTTCTTGAAATTTCCCCAAATTGCGGGAGGGGCGGGGGTACGGGGTGCCCTCAGCGGTATATCGAACTTTGCAAATGGCACCCCTATGTTATTATTTCAGAAATCAATTTTACACAAAAAACAAGCCACGCTGTCCAAGCCGGATGTAAATCGGACAATTTTTCAGCGATTGGCAGAGGTTGAAACATATTTTTCATGCTCTTTTCAAATATTCCCACTCTAAACGGAGAACGGTATCAACCAAAATCTCCACCAAAAAAAAAAGAAAGAAAAGAAAAAAAGAAAGGTAAAATGCATTTTGGTTTAATGAGAAGAAAATATAACGCACGAAAATATCGTGTCGAAATTTTCGGTGATTTTATTTGATATCATTCCAAGGAAATTCCCCGAAAATTCTTCAAAACTGTGTGTAGTTTCTTAAAAACCCCTAAAATAAAATAATACACGAGAAGCGACGTGCAGCGTTGCTATATGAGACAAATACGCTTTTTTGCGCGAACAGGCGTCGATATTTGAATGGAGATGTTGCATGTGTGAGAGATTTGCGATTTGACTATTGATTCCTATGTAAAAGTTCGCGAGAAACACGATGGCGCCACTGGTTTTCTCTAAAATCAACTCCCGAGCTAAAAAAATCTCTCAAGTTGAGGCCAAAATGGAGAGGATATCCCACGCTATCTTGAGAGTCCACCTCTACATTCAAGACAAACTCTCCATGCAAAGATAGGGAGCAAATACATTGACAGGGCTGCCATCTTATTAGGGGACTCCAAAACTGAAAACATGGCAACCCTGCTGATGTATTTGCTCCCTATCTTCGCTTGGAGAGTTTGTCTTGATGTAGAGGTGGACTCTCAGGATAGCGTGGGATAGCCCCTCCATTTTGGACCCAACTTGAGAGCTTGTTTTGAGCTTGGGAGTTGATTTAAGAGAAAACCAGTGGGACCATCGTGTTTCTCGCCAACTTTTTTACATAAGAATCGCAAATCGCAAATTCCTCACACATGCAACATCTCCATTCATGCTTGGTAGGCGTGACGAGATACCTATTCCACCACGGGTGTAGGAATGTTGCCGGTAGGCGGCTTGAAGGCGCGTCACACTGCGAAGATGACTCCGCACCGCGTTCTCTCTCCTGGCTCCTGCGACGTTGAAGTCTCTGAAAAACATACTTGTTGCCTATGGGGCAAAGTTGAAGGCGAATATTCAGTGGACGATATCTGCTGATAGGTTAGACAGTTTCTCAGCTCTGACTGTTACGCGCAGTGAACCAATTGAATGGATTAACCAGAATCAGTCCATTTACGTCAGAGGGCTGATTTTCGAAAATGAGAGACCAAGTCTTAACAAAGAGAACCCAGAGGAAATGGAGCGATCCCATTGGTGGACGCCTTTACTAAAAAATTAAGGTTTTATCCAGGGAAATTTGGCAACTTCCGAATGTTCATTCCGGCGCTCTTCTTAGCACGACAACGTTGCGGCATAACTTCCAAATGAGTTTTAGCCGACAGATGCCGCAACAGGCTAGGACTGGCCATAAGGCTCATCTGCCATTGGCAGATACGCCTCCTTTGCACGCCGAAAACGCGCCCCTCTTACAGATAGCAAAATAAGAAGAAAAAAAGATTACGACCGAGAATATGTGAGAAACATTTCTTAAATGAACGGAAGAAGAGACAGTTGGGAGTAAAGAAAGGTGCTTTAACGCATTTAAGTGGTGAACAGAGGTCCAAGAACTACTTTCTGAAGCGTAAACAATTTTCTGCGAAATGTTCACCTTCTTCTTGACATACAGGCGCTTTATCATCCCCCTCCTTCATTCGCTATGTGTAACTCCCTTAGAAGCGATGGTCGATTCGATTTTTAGACATACACATTCTTTATAGACCTCTTAAGAGACCTTTAAACATATTTCCTACTTTTCAAATGGCTATTGATTTGGACATGCCATAGCATAGCTCGGGCAAACTTAACTTTAATTTATCTCGAAATTGAAAAATGAGAGGCATCTAAAATGTAAACGCGATACAACTATTCGCGCAAGATGGATGTCCACATTGCATATGAAAAATGTAAGACGCGATGCCGTGAGTCGTGAACTCGCAATGCTCTGCTCTACTTTGAAGCAACATTACAAATAAGACAAACGCAAACAAACACAATATGGAAATAAAACTAGGGAAAGGATGCGCGTTAACGACGGCGCAGAGATACAACTATTCGTCCTTGATGGACGTCCGTGCTGCATCTGAAAAATTGAAGGCGCGATGACGCGAACCGTGAGCTCTCGATGCTCTGCTTTATGCTGTCAATGAAGCGTCGCTCTGATTCGGGAGAAAAGTTTAAAAAAGGCCTGAAGACACCTCTCCTACCTTTGGCTGTATTACCCACGTGGTGCTTGGAGCACCATTACGAATAAGACGAACGGAAACAAACACAATATGGAAAAAGAAGGAGGGAAAGGATGCGTGTTTATGACGGCGCAGAGATACAACTATTCGTACTTGATGGACGTCCGTGCTGCATCTGAAAAATTGAAGGCGCGATGACGCGAAGCGTGAGCTCTGAATGCTGTGCTTCACGTTCAATGGGCCGATTGCATGCAAGAGATACAGCCGCGCGAATAGACTGTATAGAGGTTAAATGACACGAAAATTACGATGGTCACATTAAAAAAGTCTGAAATACACTCCTTACTGCGCAATTTGCGTTGTTAGGAACGCGCTTTTTCAAATTTCCCGCGTCTGGGGGCAGTTTTCTAATCACCGGAAACGAGCAAACGGCGGGCTCGGTGATTTCCGGAAGATGCCGAGTCGTCGTTGTTGTTGTTGTTATTTTTTCCTTCAGTTTGTTCACAAACCCAACGTGATCTCTTATAGTGGTCCATATACGCTTTATGCGGTCACCAAATCGATCAACTTTTAAATATCCAACGCAACCCTTCTACATTTCATTTCACGATAACACGAGCTCCGATTTTTAGGTTATGTTGTCAGTTTTAGTTGACCGGAAATAGCCGCGAGTTGCCGTTAATTGTTTCCGTAAGAAAACTGCCCTCCGACGCGGGAAATTTGAAAAAGCGCGCTCCTAACAACGCAAATTGCGCAGTAAGGAGTGTATTTCAGCCTTTTTTAATGTGACCATCGTAATTTTCGTGTCATATCACCTCTATTAAGTCTATTCGCGCGGCTGTATCTCTTGCATGCAACAGGCCCATTTTGCAATTTTTACTCCGTGCGATCAATAAACTTTGAACCTGAAAATAGCGTAAACTTGTGCTGATTTGCCAAAATTTTCTGAACCCCTCTCCACGTAGGGAATGCCCTACCAGGAAATATCACATTACGCCCCTTTAACCAGCCAAGGGTCTACGCCCTCAGATGCGAGCCAGTCCGACCCTGTGCCGCAATCACACGCTGAATGTGGCTTGAATGTGGAAGTCATCGGCCCGATGCCTGAATTTTGCGCGTGACGCGCAAAATTCAGCGACCATCGGATAATATCGGATTTGTCTGAACAATTCGAATAGATTTGATACACGTATTTGGATGAAAATAACTCGAATTAGTGTGATTTCCGCTGTTGAGCGCTGACTGGTGACTGGCACATTCGGCTGCCAAATTCAGCGTGTGATAGCGGCAAGAGGCTAATTGAAGTAATAGAGAACCACAGTGAACTCACGTTTGAATTCAAATTATTATTCATGAAGGTTCCGAGGTTAAAAGAGAAGAAAGGGGTCAGAGGATTAACAAGGGAAGGGGGTGGGAACAATATGAGAATTTCGGAAATCACGCGGACAGCAATATCATGTAATCCCGGTTGGTCTGTTCACGAAGCAAACCAGAAATGGAAAGTGAAAACCGGAAATAAGAAGTGAAAACCTGAAATAAGAAGTGAAAACCTGAAGAGGAAAGAGGAAGAAACCGGTGGTGGAAGGTGACGGATATCAAAAGGAACCGGAAATAGGATATGAAAACCGGAAGTGGGACGTAAAAACTGAAAATTAAAGGTAATAACCGGAAGTAGAGGGGACACATAGAAATTAAGGGTGAAAACGGAAAGCGGAAATCGTAAACCGGAAGTGAAAAGTAAAATCGTGAAAAAGGAAGTGTAAACCGGAAGTTATGAAAACCGGCATTTAGTAGTGAAAACCGGAAATGGGCAGAGAAAAACCAGGAAAATGGAGTCGAAACCGAGTATAGAAAGCGGATATTTAAGGTGGAAATTTTAAACCGGAGGTAGGAAGTAAAACCCGGCAATTAGAAGTGAAAACCGGAAAAAGGTAGGTAGTGAAAACTGGAAGTGGGAAATGAGAATTGGAAGTTGAAGATGAAAATCGGAAGGTGGAGGCGTAAACCGGAAATAGGAACCCTGCTAAAAATGTTCCGTGTGGATGATTTCCATGAAGTTGATTTCCATGAAAAAA